GAGCCCAGGAGTTGGAGGTTGCTGTGAGCTGTAATGCCACGGCACTCTACCCAGGGGCTCAGCTTGAGGCTCTGTCTCAAAAAAAAAAAAAAAAAGAAAAGACTGTAAGGGCAGCACCTGTAGCTCAAAGGAGTAGGGCGCTGGCTCCATATGCCGGAGGTGGCGGGTTCAAACCCAGCCCCGGCCAAAAACTGCAAAAAACAAAACAAAAGACTGTAAGACCAACTAATTTCGGTCTTACCGCCCCATGATCTTGAATATCCCCATTAATTCTTCCCTGACCACCTCTATCTACTTTCCACCCAGCAAGCTAAGCTGGGCAGTTTTCTTTCTGGCAGCATTAGTCTTGTGATTCACAGCTTCCTCTTCAACCAGTGTTGCTGCTTCTGCATACCAGCTACCACCACCCTCTCCTTTGTTTCACTTCCTCTTCATCCTTTACAGAACCTAGCCTCTTCAGCACATTCTTTTTTCCCATCTGCCCAAATCCCAAAACCAAGCCAAAATTCTAAAAAAAAAGTATCCATTTCCTTATCTGTTAAAAATACTGCTCAAGGAAAAAGGCTTGGAAAACAAACACACAAAATATATACACACATTCAGAGCCAAATATCAACTTCTAGCGTGTTTCCTATCAGTCTTTTTCTGTTCATGTAGAAACTTATCTGTAGGTTTGAAAATTCTTTGAAAGAAAGTGATCCTGAAAAATAATAACAGTCACGTAATATGAGTCAGACATTCTACTTGTGCTTTACTTTATAATTTCTTTTTTTTGAGACAGGAGCCTCAAGCTGGCCCCCTGGGTAGAGTGCCGTGGCATCTCAGCTCACAGCAACCTCCAACTCCTGGGCTCAAGGGAGTCTCCTGCCTCCGCCTCCCAAGTAGCTGGGACCACAGGTGCCGGCCACAACGCTCGGCTATTTTTTGGTTGCAGCCGTCATTGTTGTTTAGCGGGCCCAAGCTGGATTCAAACCCGCCACCTTGGGTGTATGTGGCTGGCGCCTTAGCCACTTGAGCCACAGGCGCAGAGCCTACTTTATAATTTCTAATCTGCATAACAATATCATTAAATAGGTATTATGCTAGTTAGGCTTGTTTGTTTGTTTGTTTTGAGACAAGAGTCTCACTATGCCGCCCTCAGTAGAGTACTCTGGCATCACAGCTCACAGCAACCTCAAACTCTTGGGCTTAAGCAATTCTCTTGCCTCAGCCTCCCGAGTAGCTGGAACTACAGGTGCACGCCACAATGCACAGCTATTTTTTTGATTGCAGTTGTCATTGTTGTTGCTTGAAACTGCCAGCTTCAGTGTATACGGCCGGAGCCCTACTCACTGAGCTACGGGTACCAAGCCAGTCTTGTTTGTTTGTAAATACATTCATTCATTCATCAAATATTAACATTTACTTGGTACTTAGTATTTGCCAGCCATGGCTCCAGGCACCTCTAGGCATTGGTTGTAGGCATCAGTGAACAAAATAAGACAAAAATCCCTACTGTGGTGAAATGTATATTCTAGTAGTGGAGAGCCTGTCAGTGTAGTAATGTAAATAACAATGACAAACTTACATTATAACTTAGAAGTAGGTGCTCTGGAAAAAAATAGAACAGGGTAAGAGATTAGGAGAAGAGTATAGGGTCACCATTTTGGTTAGGGTGGCTAGCCAAGGCCTTTGGAGAAGGTGCCATTTAAGTAGGGACTTGAAGGAGATGGAAGCAGTCAAAGCATTCCAGAGAGAGGAAAGAGCAGTTGCCAAGGCCCTGAAACAGAAGCATGCCTGGAGTTGTGAACCAGGGAGGAGGCCACTGTGGATGAGGCATAGTGAGTAAAAAGGGAAGTAGTGAGAGATGAGGTCAAAGGTACAAACTAGGGCAGCACGCTTGCCCCATATACCAAAGGTGGCGGTTTCAAACCTGCCCCGGCCAAACTGCAACAATAACAAAAAATAGCCGGGCGTTGTGGTGGGTGCCTGTAGTCCCAGCTACTCAGGAGGCTGGGGCAAGGGATTCATGTAAGCCCAGGAGTTGGAGGTTGCTGTGAGCTGTGTGATGCCACGGCACTCTACCGTGGGTAATAAAG